ACATATATTTTTGGCTGTGCTGGATCGTCCTTGCTGCTCAGGCTTTCTCTAGTTGTGGAGGAGGGGGTGGGGGGGCGGGGGCTACTCTCTAGTTGTGGTGGAAGGGTTTCTCATTGCCCTGACTCCTCTTGTGGAGCACAGGCTCTAGGGTGGGCAGGCTTCAATAGCTGCGGTTCCTGGGCTCTAGAGCACAGACTCACTACTAGTTGTGGCACAGAGGCTTAGTTGCTCCACTGCAGGGGGGAAAAAAAAACAAAAACCAACTTCCCCCAGCAGGGGTCAAACCTATGTCCCTGGCATTGACAGGCAGACTCTTTCCCACTGAGCTGCCAAGGAAGCCCTCTTGCGGTCTTTCATCCTAGCCTATCTTCGTTCAGTTCCACGGCATTGGGAGAACTTACCTTGTATGATGCCACTCTTCTGAAACATGTGGAGGCTTCTTTTCTGGGCCAGCATATGGACTGCTCTCCTAAAACCTCCCTGTGCACCTGAAAAGAATGTACATTCTGCAGCTGCCAGATGTAACGTTCCAATGTCAATTAAGTCAAATTAGTTAATTGAGTTATTCCTTACTGAGTATGTGGGCGTGTGTGTGGTTCATTTCCTGCTTGTTCTATTAGTTAGTGAGAGAGCTGTTAAAAATCTCCTTATGATGGTGAATTTGTTTATTCCTCCTTTCAGCTTCACTAACTTTTGCTGTATGTATCCAAGGCTGTGTTATTAGAAGAGTATAAATTCAGGACTCTTGTATCTTCCTAGTGAATAAAACTTTCATAATTATAAAAGGGCACTATACACGTCTATATTGTAAAATGTCCTTCTTTGTCTCTGGTAAATACTTCTTGCCTCAAAGCCTGCTTTTTATAATGGTTACATCTGCTTTCCTGTTTGCTGTGTCAATGAAATAACTGTTACATCCATGAATTTCAAACTTTCTGTGTCGTTATAAAGTTTGTTTCTTGTAAATGCCATATATTGGGTTTTGATTAGTTTCATACTCCCTCTTAGTTGGATTGTTTACCCCACTTATATTGACTATAACTAATGGTGTAGACTTTATAGCTAATCTTTTGCTGTTTTTCCAATTAGTCCTCTCCTTTGTTCCTTTAGTCCTTTTTTCTTTTGGAGTTGCTGGATTTTTTTAAAATTCCATTTTCCTCTTGCCTCTTAGATTTTTTTGAAATGCATTCATGTACTCTTGAAGCTTAGATTTTCAAGCTATTTTTTAGTTATCCTAATAATACCTAAGCTTCTCTAGAGAATACAATATTTATGATTACAGGTTTTAAAAATTAGTACTTTCACCATTTGCCAAGTACAAACAACCCTTTCTTCTACCCTTCCACACTATTATACATGTATAATATATAACCACTGTTATGTATTCCATATCACATATTTTTAACAATACATGTCAAGACATTACTGCTGTTTAAAATAGTCAATATTCTTTCATATTTGCCTATATATTTACCCTGTTCATTGCTCTTTATTCTTCCTTCCGGTTCTATACTACCACCTGGGGTCATTTTCCTTTAGGCTGAAGTACTTCCTTAAGTATTTTTGTAGCACATGTCTGCTGGTGCTTAATTCTCTCAGCTTTTGTCTGTCTGAAAATGCCTTTAGTTTGTTTTTAAGAATATTTTCACCAAGTTGGCAGACCTTTCTCAGGACTTTTAAGATTCTGGCTTCCAAAGTTTCTGCTCAAAAGTCAGCCACTGCTCCTTCAAAGGTTACATATTTCTCTCTGGCCATCTTTAGAATTTTCTGTCTTTGGTTTCCAGCAGTCTGACTAAGATATTCTTAAGTGTGCCTTTTGGTTTTGCTTTTACTCCATAATGAATTTGCTGAGTTTTATGCATCTGTAGGTTAAAGTTTGTCAACAATTTTGGAAAATCCTGTTATTATTTCATCAAATATTGATTCTGCCCCATTCCCTTTTACGTCTGGGACCTCAATTACATGTATCTTGAGGTTGTGTTCACCATGTTTCTTATCCTGTTTTTTTGTTTGGTTTGTACATTCTTTTTACTGTTTGCTTCCATTTGAATTTTTCTATTGCCCCATCTTCAAGCACTGATCCTATCTCCTGCTGTGTGCGCTCTGCTGTTAAACCTACACAGTGAGTTCTTCATTTCAGATTTGAGCTTTTATTGCAATATTCTTTTCAAACAGCTTTATTGAGGTTTAACTTACTAACTGCAGAATTCACCCATTTTAGGCAAACAAAAGTTTTTTTAGATTTATTAAGTTGGGCAGCCATTAACACAAAATTTCCCCTCTTTCTTCTTTAAGAATATATTCTGGATGACATCTAAATTGAAATTTAAGTCAAATACAAAGGAAATAGACATCACTAGCTTTGCCAATCAACCTGTCTATACACTGCTTACCCAAAACTTTTAAGCAGGCAGAATGGCCCCCTTGTAACTTTTAAAAATTGAGATATAATTCATATATCATAAAGTTTCCCTTTTAAAGTATACAACTCAGTGGGTTTTAGTATATTCACAAAGTTGTACAATTATCACTATTAGTTAATTCCAGAACATTCATCACTCCAAAAAGAAACATGTAGTCACTAGCAGTTATTTCCCCTTCTCTCCTTCCCCAGCTCTTAATTTACTAACTTACTGTCTCTGTAGATTTGTCTATGCTGGCCATTTCATATAAATGGAGCCTTTTTGTGTCTGGCTTCTTTCACTGAGCATGCTTTCAAGGATCACATTGTAGGTTGTATCAGTACTTTTTTGATGGCCAAATAGTATTCCATTATATGGACATTTCATCCAGTCACTGGTTGATGGCTATTTGTTTCCATGTGGGGCTACTATGAAAAACCATGCCATGAGCATTATTTCTCCTGGTTATAAACCTAGGAGTGGAATTGCTGGGTAAGTATTATTAGTTCTATGCTTAGCTTTTTAAGGATCTGCCAAAGTGGCTGTACCATTTTACATTCCCACCAGCAATGTATGCATGAGTTCTAATTTATCCATGTCACTGCAAACAGTCTGTCTTCTTGATTATAGCCATCCTAAAAGGTGTTTTTTATGGTTTTTGATTTACATTTCCCTAATGACTAATAATGTTAAGCTTCAAAGTGTTTACTGGTCATCTGTAGATCTTCTTTGGAGAAATGTATGTTTAAACCCTTGTTCATTCTTTGATTGGGTTGTGGGGTTTTGTTTGGCCACACACATGGCATGCAGGGATCTTAAGTTCCCTCACCAGGGACTGAATCTATGCCCCCTGCAGTGGAAGAAGAGTCCTAACCACTGGACTGCCAGCAAAGCCCCCAGCTGGGTTGTCTTTTTATCATTGAGTTTTAACAATTCCTTATATATTCTGCATACTAGACCCTTATCTACTGTATTTAAAGCAGACCTCTCGTGTCCGTTTGCGGTCAATTCCCACTCCCAACGCTGTTGCTCACTTGCTCAGTCGTGTTTGACTCTTTGTGAACTCCTAACCCTAGTAACAGGCAACCGCTAAGCTACGGCTGCTCTGTTTCAGGTAAGCCCACCTTTTAATGAGATTTTGTCTCCTAAGTGTTGTGTCATTGTGGGACGCTTCACTCTGCCTTTTGGTGGCCCTGGGCTTAGCATCTGGCATGGCATGTAGAGCGCTGGAATTCAGCAAATGTCCTGGGAGAAAACCAGTCACTTATGTAAGGTGTCTCAGGGGTCCAGTATGTCATCACTGAGGACCTTTACTTTCTTTTACCAAGTAGTGCCCTTCTGCATGGGCTAAACCCAATCTTCAATCCCAGGCCCAGAATCAGCAAAGGCTAAGGAAAAAATGGCCAGACCGTCAGTCCACCTCAGAAAGGCTTCCTCCTCCGAAATCCAATTCTTTTAGTCTTTATTGCTTCTGCAGTTTTCTGATGTTTAAAAGCAGTATTGAATTTTTGGTATTTTAAACCAGTTTTTTCTGGTAGTTGCAGCAGGAGTGTTGTGTTGATATGACCTAATATATCCTACTCATCAATTATATTAAGCTTTTTAAGACTTTATATCCTGTCAAGCAAGTTTCTTTTCTTTCCCTCTCCTTCCAGATATATGTTGGCTATTTGGGGAGCATACTTCTTCCACATGAATGTTTTAAATCCATTTATCTGTGTCCCCCAAAAAAATCCTCTTGGGATTTTGTTGGGAAAATATATTGAATTTATAAATTACTTAAAACTGAAATTATTATAACTTTTACATTCTCCATCTACGAACATGGTATTCCTATCCATTGAGTAGGTTTCTTTTAGGTCCTTTAATAATATTTTGTACTTTTCTCCATCAAGGAATTGCACATACTTTATCAGGTTTTATCCCAAATACCTTAGAGATGATCTTTTAAAGTACTTACAAATTTCCAAAAGCTCAAAAAAGTAACATTGACAATTTTCATCCATTTTTCTGTCACCCAGTTTTCTTCTAGAAGAAATGAATTTTACTAGAATGTCTTTTCTTCTAGAAGAAATGAATGTTACCTATTTATTTTTAATGTGGTTAATGTTAGTGTATAGTTCAATCTTGTATCTAGTAAGCAACTGAGTTTTATTATTTCTAATAGGTTATTTTGAATTTCTTTTTTATATATGTATCATCTACAAAGGAGAAGTCACTTGGTCCATCTGTTTCCATCCCTTACTCCTTTCACTGATTTCACTGCACTGGTGGAGGACACGTCTAACACAGCAGTTACGTAAAATAGCTGAGTGATAGCTGTGATAGAAGACAACCGTATTTTGCTTCTGACTTGTTTCACACTTGTTTCTGATGGCTTGTTTCACACTTATTTATTAAATTTGCTGTAGGTTTTTGGCAGATGTCTTTATTGGGTTAAAAAAAAGTTAATCTTTGATCCCGCTTTGCTAAGAATGGGTACCGTGAAAGTTTTTATAAGTTACTTTATGCACCTACTGAGATGATTGTATGGTTTTTCCCTTTAATCTATTAAATGTGGTGAACTGCCCCCTCAAAAAAAACAAAGGTAGTCTCAAATAAACATTTTTACCCCAAATTGTTATTTATTTTCATGAGGGGGGGGGAAGAAAGAACCTTTTATGATAGTGAAAATATACTTTATTTTTTAATACAATAGCTGCCAGCAATATACTGGTTCCACAGAGAGAAAAGAAAATACAAGCATTCTATAATAAGCTTTCATTTTCCTTTTCAAGTAATTAAAAAAAAATACTTCAATTCTGTTCAACATTATGGTTTGGGGGAGTTGAAATTTTTTTCCATAATAGTAGTATAATTTTGACAGCCCCAACCTTGGTAATTTGTAAAGGATGGAATAAAAATGATGATACAGTAATAACAATAATGAATGCTTCCCTCTCTTTGAATCAAATACTGATTATAACCAGTGTAAGAAATTGGTTAATCAATAAATTTGATGAAATGTGTATCAAAATGTTCATGAAAAAATACATTTCTATTTCTTCTCATTTTTACCATGTAGATATTTTCTAAATGGATTATTTTAAATGCACAGAAATAAAGGCTATCTACACACAGCTCTAAAGAGATTCAAAACAACAGAAGTAAACGTGCCTAAATTCTAAAGTCAAACAAATGAGTGTAAGAATAAACTGTCAGAAACCTCTTCATTGTATACAGATTGCTCAAGGGTTTAAAGATAGTTGTATAAGCCAAAGTTACCAAGAAATAAAATCTTGTATGAATTTTATCACAAAAGTCAACAATCTTGGTAAAAGAAAATAACAGAACTATACAGAAAATCCACATCTATTTTTTTTTTTAAAGGGGGATGTTATATCAACTGAAACGGTAGACAGCCTTTCAAATGTTGAACACAAAAATTTCTCAGAATCCCTTGGAAACTGTAAGATCTTCCATTCAGACTCTTATCTTGTTTAAGTGGAACAAAAGGGGTTTAAATGAAGGGGGGAATGATTCAGTAGTTATAGAAATAATATCAGATGATTTCTATTACGTCAACCCATACACTACATGAGCTGCCATGAAAATCTTTCATGTTTCGAGTCTCCCAAGGCTTTGAGCTGTGACTTCTCCACAGTGTGAGACGGGGGAAAGGTCTGTTCCAGGACTGTCTTCTACTAGCTTTGGTCCATTTGCCAATTTCAGTCTCATCTGACTAACTTTCCTGATAAGTAATAAGATCTGTCTTTTGACAGAAACATAACTCTGCCTTCATCAAAATTATAACAGATAGACCCTCCCTTCCTTGGATATCTAGAGAGACAGCCAAGTGTAATCATGGGGTACATTTTTTAAAAAGAAGAAGAGAATAAATATCCAAAGTGGAAAACTCTTCACAACTGAACTTCAGAATGTGTTCTTCATCCCTGTTTTGAGGACTGTGGCCCTGTCCTCATTAGCCCTCTACCTTGCATCACTCAGTCCACCGTTCACCTGAAATAGACACCCTGCTTCTCCTGAATTATGCTTTAAGCTATGAGGCAAGATTCGATATCACCTGACGCCAAGTCAGTCCTATTGTACAAGTAAGTGAGAAGTGAATATGGCTGTCTGTGTACTGATGCAGAGGTGATGCAACTCACCCACGGAAGCTGCTGCCATAGAATTTCTCAACATATAACCTGATACTGCTTCTTTCTGGAACAAGATAAGCCATCACCCAATACTTTATTACAAAATGGTGGGTACCCTAACTTTGTTCAGCAATAAGGAGTTCTAAAAAAGGTAAAGCAAAGAAATCTCCCTGAGCCAAATGGATACAATATGGAGTTTTTCTTATCTTTCTACACCAAGCTAATTACTGATAGATTTAAATAAATGCATAATGCTTATAAAAAATCAGGCTGCTTCCTTAAAGCCAGTGTTTACTAAATGTTAGCATATCGTAGGGAAAAAAAACATTGCCATTTTAAAGCAATATACTTAAAATTTCCAAAAACAGCCTATGAGAAATAGCACTTCTTAAACAAGTTAGGTATAAAAATGACCAAAAACATTAACTACAGTTACAACCACAGTCTTTGGAGTAGTACACAGAAAGTCATTTTTTTCCTTCTTTTAAGTGAATAAATACTTAACAAAGTTTTATTTTCATCATGTTTATCCTTCCTTGTTACAACACAAAAAAATTCCTGGTTTAGGACTTCAGTTTAAGAAACAAACATGCAGAGTGCTATTCCTCAATGTAGCTTCAGAAAAATTTAATTGAAGGAAATGCAATGATTGAGATTAGGCAAAACTGCAGTAAATATGAAGTCACCATCACAACTATAATTTAGTCCAAAAGGAGTGAACCATCCTCTACCTGAAGTCTAACAGTAAATGGGGTAGAATAATAACTTGTTTTATCTTGTTTTTAATATATGATTTATACTGCACTCTAGATTATCCACATTAAATATGCCTGATATTTTGACAAACCCATGCTATATTCCTTAGGTTAACTTTTATATTACTAATCACTGTACTGCTAGAGCTAAATGAACTAAATAACAGTTTACATAGTGTTGCTCAAAAGATCTATAGACAGCAAGGCTGATGCTTACCTTAAAAAAGAGCACTTTTAAAATAAAGGAAGAAATCAATAATGTTCCAAATGAATGTCACTGGACAAAATACATATATGCTTGAGAAGATCTTGAAAATACCATCCTTCCCTCTAAACTTTCAGCTTCTAAGTAGTGTCAGATGTTATCATTAGTATGAAAGAAAAATGCTTTTAGGCAAAAGTAAAAACCCATGTACAGAGTAAAATAACAAAATCTGCACTGACTTTCTGTAAAAGCACTCTTCTCAGGTGGTAACATCCTTTAGTACATATCCAGGATAGACTAAACTGAAAGAGAATATTTTGATACAGTAGCAGTCCTTTAATATACTCTTACTAAATATTATAAAACTCCAAAAATACATAAATATTCCTTGTACCATGCATTATGCACCAGTTTGGGCCTGACTGAAGGGGTCACGGTTACTATTTTATTTTTTTTATTTTTTTACGGTTACTATTTTAACAGTTGAACAGTGCACCTCAAAAGTTCTGTCATCGACACACAGTGAATGGACTCCAGTGATGAAGGCTCCAGGGAGATGGCAAACTACCTTTAAAGTGAAAGTCTGTGATGGAGCGTCTCCAAATTGGAGGAAAGGAGGATACGGGCTAGGGGATATAGTCAGGGTAAAGGAATTTTAAAATAATACTGTTTAGAGAGTATATATATTTCAAGACAGCTACTACACCTTGTCTATCCTTTATCCTAATCTGGAATAACTGCATGTTCGTGCCAAATAAAGTTTCTACTTTCTAGGAAGAGGAGCAGTCTGTTAGGAAAAGTATGTTCTTAGGGGAAGATGTGAAGACATTTCTCTCGTAAGTGCTCTTTTACTTGGTAAGTCTTTTGGCTACATCACTGTATGCTATTTCAACCTCCTTATCACTGGGGCAGGTGTTGGTGAACTCATCCCTACTGTAGGCATTAGTTAGGTATCTCCAGATGCCAGTCATTCCTTTGGGAATATCAAAGTTGCGGTATTTTTTCGCCACNGCTATTTCAACCTCCTTATCACTGGGGCAGGTGTTGGTGAACTCATCCCTACTGTAGGCATTAGTTAGGTATCTCCAGATGCCAGTCATTCCTTTGGGAATATCAAAGTTGCGGTATTTTTTCGCCACCACCTGAAATACAAAGAGATCAAACGTTAATGTTTATATGCCATGTCTTATAAACCAGACATGTATCTGATTTTAGGGAAAATTAATTCCGTGAGCCTCTCAAAACTGCCTCTACTTGAAGTCTGTCCCCTTCATTATAACTAGACATTTAAAATAATGATAAGGACTGTAAACTATACCCCTTCATTATAACTAGACATTTAAAATAATGATAAGGACTGTAAACTATACCAGAGATTCAGAAGTGTGGTGGTGACTGCAAACTCCTGCCTTTACCAACAACAGAAACAGTCAAGTGAAATCACTGGATAAATACTTTAAAACATACACACTAGTCTAGGTCTTCAGCCCATTTTTTGATGGGGTTGTTTTGATGTTGTTAAAAATCATGAGATGTTTGTAAATTTTGGAGCCTAATCTCCCGTCAGTCACATCGTTTGCAAATATTTTCTCCCAATCTGTGGGTTGTCTTTTCATTTTGTTTGTTTCCTTTGCTGTGCAAAAGTTTTTGAGTTTAGGTAGGTCCCATTTGTTGATTCTTGTTTTTATTTCCATTATTCTGAGAGATGGATTGAAAAAGACATCGCTGCAAACACACTAGTTGCGATCTGTTTTTCTTGACCTTGATCTTTACTGCACAACCATACAGCATAGTGTTTCACACACTGTCACTTGTGTCAGTCGCCCAGTCGAGTCCGACTTTTTGCGACCCTATGGACCATAGCCCACCAGGCTCCCCTGTCCATAGGATTCTCCAGGCAAGAATACTGGAGTGGGTTGCCATGCCCTCCGCCAGGGGATCTTTCCAACTCAGGGACTGAACCCATGTCTCTTATGTCTCCCCACTAGTGTTACCTGGGAAGCCCAGTAAATGTATTCACATAATAAATGCTCAATAAATATTTTCTGCATTGAAAAGAAAAAGCCAGGTGATCAAAGAACAAAGTTTGATGCTGTATGTCAGTGTAGCAACCACTTTAAAGTTACCTTGAATTTTTATGCAGTCATAGAAAAAAAATTTTCCATTTCACATAGGCATTGATTTTCATACACAATTTTCCATTTAATACACCTTAGGGTGTTTCACCTATTGCCTAGACAATATTAAGTTACACTGTTTGGAGGTTCTAAATTGTGACTGTCAGAATATCAGCCAAGTTTTACACACAGGGGGAGTCCTGTCTTCGTAAAAAGGTATCAGGTTTAATAGCAATGTGACCCCACATCCTGCAGGCCTACCTTGACAATGTGCAGCTTGGGCAGCAGGTTGCAGTCAGCTAGAGTCATTTCATTGCCATCCAGAAATTTACGTGTGGAAAACTTGATGTCCTCCATACTATTCTCATCAATTTCATCAGGGAGGGGAGAATTCAGATATTCATCTAGTTTCTGCAGTGTTTTCAAGAGACCCCGCTCCAAAGCTGAAAGAAAGATGGAAATGTTATCAAGTGTGAAACAGATCGCCAGCCCAGGTTGGACGCATGAGACAAGTGCTCAGGGCTGGTGCACTGGGAAGACCCAAAGGGATGGGATGGGGAGGGAGGTGGGAGGGGGATCTGGATGGGGAACACATGTAAATCCATGGCTGATTCATGTCAATGTATGGCAAAAACCGCCACAATATTGTAAAGTAATTAGCCTCCAACTAATAAAAATAAATGAAAAAGGAAAAAAATTAAAAAAAAAAAGAAAGATGGAAATGCTATAAGAAGGAAAATCACCCAATCCCCAAAGTCTAGAAATGTTACTCCTTCAGTCAGTAACTGGTCTCTCTGACACTGGGGTACAAAACAGACAAGGTTCCTACTCTCCAGGAGCTTATTTATTCACTTGCGGGAAAGAGATGAGACTAACAAATTTACAGATAAATATAAAAACAAGTATGATGATTTCAGATAGTGTCATCTATAAACATTTTTTAATAACTAAATGCCCCATATACAAACACATCATGCCCCAACACAGTTGATATCTAAACCGGGGGAAAAAAAAGGGTTAAAAAGACAAACCTGTTATTTCAAATCTAGGGAAGAATGTCTTGCTGAGACAGAGATTCTTGCCCTCAATTTTAAATCCTGCTCCTATAAAAATATTTGGATTTATAGCCATGAAATGTGTTTAGTTCAGTTCAGTCAGTTCAGTTGCTCAGTCGTGCCTGACTCTGCGACCCCATGAATCACAGCATACCAGGCCTCCCTGTCCATCACCAACTCCCAGAGTTTACTCAAACTCCTGTCCATCGAGTCGGTGATGCCATCCAGCCATCCTATCATTTTGCCTTTTCCTACTGTTCATGGGGTTCTCAAGGCAAGAATACTGAAGTGGTTTGCCATTCCCTTCTCCAGTGGACCACATTCTGTCAGAACTCTCCACCATGACCGTCCATCTTGGGTGGCCCCACACAGCATGGCTTAGTTTTACTGAGTTAGACAAGGCTGTGGTTGCCTTGGTTACCTAAACCCAAATTATGAAGCTATTTTCCATTATATTCTAGAAGATATTTTACCAAGTATATTTATATCTCTAATCCACTTAGAATTGATTGTGTATAGTGTGAGACAGGGATGTTTTTTGACTCTGTATTCTGTTTTATTGTTCTATTTGTCTATCCTGTTAATACCACAGTTTTAGCTACTGTACCTTTACAACACATCCTGATATTAGGCAGTATAAGTTTTCAAACAAATCTTTCTTTAAGATCATCTTGGCTATTCCTGGCTCCTTACATATCCCTAATAAACTATAGAATTAGCATGTTAATTTACATGTGTGTAAGCACGCACACACACAAACTGTTGAACTTTTGAATGATTTATAGATTCACCACAACTCCAATTTGAGAACTGGAATCTTTATAATTTTGAGTGTCCCAATCTATGATTTTTAAAAATTTTATTCAATTTTATGAAATTAAAAGAGATTTCTTCTATGTTTTCTATGTAGAAGTCTTGTCCATTGTTGTTACATTTACTCCTAAATATCTGATTTTTTTATTGTATAAATATTTTTATCACATTTTCTATTGCTTCTTGCTAGCAGGCACAAATAAAACTGATTTTTATAATAGCCTCATATGCAATCACTCTGATAATTCACTTTTTTTTAATTGTTAGGGTTTGTCTGTAGATTACTTTGGATTTTCTACATTTTCAATTATAATTAAGAATAATGACAAATTTATCTCTTCTTTCACAAGTCTCATACGACTCATTACTTTTTCTGGCCTATTATACTGGTCACAACCACCAATACAATGCTAAATAGAAGTGGTGACAATAGCATTGTTTTCTAGTCTCGGTTTGAAGAGGCAATCTTTCACTATTCCTCTATTAAGTCTGACTTTTCTGTGGATTCTCTGTCAGATTAAGGAAATTCCTTTTTACATATAGTTTGTACTTTTAAAAAATAAACATTTTAATAAGTACTAAATTTTATCAAGTACTTTTCTGCATAAATTGAAATAATATCATAATTTTTCTCTTGTAGTCTATTATTGTGACAATTTGAATAGATTTTTTTGAATGTCCAATCTTCCATTCCTGAATTAAACTCAACTTGGTTATATGTATTATTTTTTTATCATATTGCTGGATCTGGCATATTTTGTTTTAGCCTTTTACGACTATGTTTGAGAGAGACTGGCCTGAAAGACTCCTTCCTTTTGATGTTTTTGTGTCGTTTGACCTCAAAAGGCAAGCTGGGAAGTATATTCTCTTTTCTGTTTCCTGGAAGAGTATATGCAAGACTGATGTTACATCTTCCCCAAATACTTAGAAGAGTTCATCAGCGAAGTCATCTTTGTGAGAGAGTTTTTAATTATAAATATAAGACAATTTACATCTTGCATCACTTCTTGTAACAATTTGCTTACATGATACTCTCTGTAAATTTATGCAATAGTGTTTTCAAATTTATAAACATAAACATTTTCATAACATTCTCCCCAAATCGTTTAAATGTAAGATCTGTAGTAATTCCCTTTCATTGCTAATATTGGTTATTACCTTCTTTTACTTATCTTGATTTTTCCTGTGAAGAATTCATCAATTTTCTTATACTTTTCAAAGAACTTTTAGCTTTGCTAATCCTGTCCTAGTTGTTTTCTATTTCATAAAATTCTACTCTTTGAGTATCTCATTCCTTCTACTTTCTTGGGTTTAATTTGCTGATCTAACTAAATCCCTGAGGTGGATATTTTAAGGTTACCAATTTTTAGCTCTTCTTTTTTTCTAATATATGCATTTAGAGCTATAAATTTTCCTCTAAACAAAGCTGTGTGTGTGTCTATGTACACTCAGTTTTGTCAGACTCTTTACGGCCCCACACACTGTAGCCTGCCAGGCTCCTCTGTCCACAGAATTTTCCAGACAAGAATACCAGAATGGGTGGCCACTTCCTACTCCAGGGGATCTTCCCAACCCAGGGACTGAACCTGCATCACTTGTGTCTCCTGCACTCGCAGGTGGATTCTTTACCATTAGCACCATTTGGGAAGCCCAAATGATAGCATATAAATTTAGACGTGGTATATTTTCATCATGTTATTCTTCAACCCATGGATTATTCAGAAATACACTGCTTATTTCAGCTAGAAATTTTCTAGCTGTACTTTTGCTACCAATATCTAGCTTATTTTCTTTGTGGTTGATACGATACAAATTTCTTTTGGAAAATTTTTCAGATTTGCTTTATGGTTCAGCTTTATGGGCTTCTCTAGTGGCTCAGAATACCAGACCACCTGACCTGCCTCTTGAGAGATCTATATGCAGGTCAGGAAGGAACAGATAGAACTGGACAAGGAACAACAGATTGGTTCCAAATTGGTAAAGGAGTAAGTCAAGGCTGTACATTGTCACCCTGTTTATTTAACTTATATGCAGAGTACATCGCGAGATACACTGGGCTGGATAAAACACAAAATGGAATCAAGCTTGCCGGGAGAAATATCAATAACCTCAGATATGCAGATGACACCACCCTTATGGCAGAAAGTGAAGAAGGACTAAAGAGCCTCTTGACTAAAGTGAAAGAGGAGAGTGAGAAAGTTGGATTAAAGCTCAACATTCTGAAAACTAAGATCATGGCATCTGGTCCCATCATTTCATGGCAAATAGATGGGGAAACAATGGAAACAGTGACAGACTATTTTTGGGGGCTCCAAATTCACTGCAGATGGTGATTGCAGCCATGAAATTTAGATGCTTGCTCCTTGGCAGAAAAATTATGACCAACCTAGACAGCATATTAAAAAGCAGAGACATTACTTTGTCAACAAAGGTCTGTCTAGTCAATGCTATGGTTTTTCCAGTGGTCATGTATGGATGTGAGAGTTGGACTGTAAAGAAAGCTGAGCACCAAAGAATTGATGCTTTTGAACTGTGGTGTTGGAGAAGACTCTTGAGAGTCCCTTGGACTGCAAGGAGATCCAACCTGTCCATCCTAAAGGAAATCAGTTCTGAGTGTTCATTGGAAGGCCTGAGGCTGAAGCTGAAACTCCAATACGTTGGCCACCTGATGTGAAGAACTGACTCACTGGAAAAGACCTTGATGCTGGGAAAGATTGAAGGTGGGAGAAGAAGGGGGTGACAGAGGATGAGATGGTTGGATGACATCACCGACTTAATGGACATGAGTTTGAGTAAACTCCAGGAGTTGGTGATGGATAGGGAGGCCTGCATACTGCAGTTCATGGGGTCACAGAGTCTGACACGACTGAGTAACTAAACTGAACTGAACTGAACTGAGTGGCTCAGATAGTAAACAATCTGTCTGCAATGTGGGAGACCTGGGTTCAATTCCTGGGTTGGGAAGATCTCCTCGAGAAGGGCATGGCAACCCACTCCAGTATTCTCACCTGGAGAATCCCCATGGACAGAGGAGCCTGGCAGGCTATAGTCCATGTGGTCACAAAGAGTCAGACACAACTGGGCGACTAAGCGCACACACACATCAGTTTTACAGTCAATTTTGTGTTCCATGTGTGTTTGAAAAACAAGGCTATATTCTCCAGTTTTGGGGCACTGTAAGATTAAATTTATAATATCAGTGAGATTAAACTTGTTCACTGTCTTATTCAATTCTTCTATATTCTCACTGAATTCTTCTTTTTGGCAGATTCTAAAAGTTACTAAAGGAGTCAGTTAAGATCTCCCACCAAGATTGCGGATTAGTTTATTTCTCTTTTAGCTCTGTCAATCTGCTTTATATATTTTGAGGGTGAAAGTGAAAGTCACTCAGTCATGTCCGACTCTGTGATCCCATGGAGTATACAATCCATGGAATTCTCCAGGCCAGGGTAGTTAATTTATTTATAAATATGAATCTAGAGTTATTTTATTTTCCTGGTAGGTTGATCTTTTAAAATCATTCTGAAACATGTTTCATTATCTCTAGCAATGCTTCTTTCCTCAAAGTCTACTTT